CACAACTCTCCCCCTCAGTGTCCTCCATCCCCCCTCAGTGTCCTCCATCCCCCCTCAGTGTCCTCCATCACTAATCTACTAACTGACATATCCGTCTGGATGCTGGATGTCACAACACTTCTTACTACTCAATGTTTCAAAAACTGAGCTTATGATATTTCCTCCCTCCCCCCCGTGCACCTTCCCCCAACTTTTCCCTTGAGATTGTTAACACAACTATCCCGCCCTCCCCCCATGCCAAGGTCCTAGGGGTCATCCTTGACTCGGACCTCACCTTTCTTCCCCACATCCAATCACTATCCAAATCCTGACCCTGTGAAATCAGCTAGTTTCTCGGGGGCTGCAGTTCCTCTGAGCTCCACAAGATGGTGATCTCACCTACACCCAGACAGGAAGTCTCTATGGAAAACAGGAAGTGATGTAAAGTACAGACCGGAAGTCTATGGATAATAGACAGGAAGTGATGTCACATATAATTAGGGAGAGTCGAGAGGAAGTAGAGAGGAGGCATTGCTGGAACTGGCAGCAGAGGAGGTAAGAAGATATTATGTTATCTTTACACCCAGTAACCCCTCCCCCCCCCCCCCCCCCTTTCCCCCCTCCTCCCCCATGTCCCAAGTATCCTTGCCTCTGTGAAGAGAGCTACTTATAGTGAATCCAACCTTCAACCATCAATCATCGGATAAAATTTGCACAGCAACCGCGACGGAATTGTTCCGTCATTGGTCCTTATGGTGCGGACAACAGTGACGGAATAGTTGGTTGACTTTTAACTACTAGTGTAACGTACGCAGCGAGCTGAAGAATGCTTCAAAGCGTTCACATACACCGCAAGCTGCGGTATTCATATTCGCCACAAGGCGGTGGCAATTGTGAGGCGAATGCACAGACAGGAAGTGATGTAAAAAGTGCAAACAGGAAGTAATATTAAAGGTGAAGAAAAAAAAAATAGTGGAGTAGCAGGAAGTAGAGAGGAGACATTGCTGGGAATGGTATCAGAGGAGGTAATAAGATGTTATTTTATATTCACACCTAGTAACCCCTCCCCCCCCCCCCCGTCATGTCCGTCCTCATCCTCCATAGTCACTGCGACGTCTTTTATCTCCGGCAGATTCTGCTACACACATATATGTGAAATAGAAACACGCTGCACGTCAATCACACGTGACCATACACAGTTCTGAACCGAGCGTGGGCGTCACAAGGACGTGGCGATACCGCTCTCAGCCTCACCCTGCGCAGAGATTTCCCAGCTCGCGGGACAAACAATCTCAAGCCAGCCGACTGAGAGCGATCCTCACCAGGCTTGGTTACCTCCGCAGTTACCCCTTTACACGCCAAACGTTCACTGCCACCACGTGTGTTACCGGAAACACGGACCGATCACTATACAGTACAGTCTATGATATCTCTTCTCCAAGTAAGACTTCCTTCTTGATGTTAGATGGGAAACTCTTCTCGGGTGTTATAAGAGTTTCTCCTTTTCCCGTTGCAAACTTTGGTGTTACGAGAGGCTCCCGACTGCTCTGCGCAGCCACATTTTGTCGGTCCCCAAGAGAAAATCACTGAGCCAGACCATAAAAGATATAATTTTATATTTACACCCGGTAACCCCCCGTCATGCGCGTCCTCGTCGTAGAATCTGTGATCCAGAAGACAGTCCGGATTCAGTATAATCCCCCCCGGAGGCCATAGCTCCTCCTACATCCCGACCTCCATGTCACCTCCCGACCTCCTCCTCCTATTATTGTACAACCAACACAATCCGGATCATTCTCTGATATCAATGTTATCCGTCTACAGGGAGACCTTCATAGAGGACTGCACCAATGATGGAGGAGGACCGGAGTCACATGACCGAAAGGATACTAAACCTCACCCTGGAGATCATCTACCTGCTGACCGGAGAGGTGAGGAGGATTCTGGGTAAGGGGGGTGGTAAATACTTTATGCCTGGAGTTAGTCAATACCTAGACCTGGTGTAAGATTATGGTGAGGTCATATATCGCTTTCTGTGTTTCTACACAGAGGTGGTCTCCTGTGAAGTCTGGTGATCATGTGACCATCACAGTGCCTCCATGTGACTCCCTAAAACCCGAGAGACCCAACATGGAGAAGGTTCGAGAAGTCACCAAGAAGATGATGGAGCTGCTGACAGAAGAGGCCAATGGTGCCGGGAATTATAAGACGTTATCCAGTAAGGAGGAGTGGGAGTATCTAGAAGGACACCGGGATCTCTACAAGGACGTGGTGATGGAGAATGCCCCGCCCCTCACATCACCGGGTAAGAGGAGAGAGCAGTACGGAGGCTCCGCCTACATCCCCCATCATCTGATACACACATAGAAACAATGTATTCAGTCAGTGTGTGTGTTTCCTACAGATGGATCCAGTAAGAGGAACCCACCAGAGAGATGTTCCCACCCCCTGTATTCCCGGGACCCCACCCCGGAAGATCTCACCATCCCCCACCATGAGAGATGTCCCCGCCCCCTGTATTCCCGGGACTCCACCCAGGAAGATCTCACCGTCCCCCACCATGA